AGAAGCACTCGGCTACCATTCAATGAGTAGGGAAAAGCAGATTTGAGACTGTTCCAAACATCGTCTCTTAGTTCACCATATAAAACTATCAGGTATCTTTCAAAAACTAAGAAACCTTGAAGCCAATTCCTCAGTAAATGATTTGAGAGCTGGAGTTCTTCCTGCTTAATAGAAGGAACTTGTTTCAAAATATCACTTAAGATATTTCTTTCTCCTGACTCTTTAGAAACAAGAACCCAAGAGCAAAACTGAAAATGTTGTTTAGTAACAGAAGAACGGTAGGAAGTCCACAAGAAAATTGCATCACTCGGGTATTCCAAATTGGCTTTCAAAATGAGAAGCTGCCTCATCCGCCTGCTAAGGAGTACTGGTTGAGCCAACTTGCTTGCTAACTCCTCCAAGACAATTGGGACACACCCTTCCTCCCAACTCTGATGATGTCTTTCATCTGAATCCTTGTTGTCACTCCCAACATCTTTGTTTTCTGATGAGAATTGAATGCGCCCTGAAATACTTGGATTTTTTAATAAAACTGCAGCATCTCTAGAGGAACTGTGTTACTAGAGAACTCCTTTGCTGGAACCTCTACGGCATCTGATTTGCTCTGTAACTTCTCTTCTGGAACTGGGGCATATCACGGCAACAAATCCGGTCATCAATTCCAGCAATCCTCGCTCGTGAATCACGGCAACACAATCCCCGCTCGTGAATGACAGCAACAAGACTCAATCTTGGCAACTATATATTCTGTATTATAGCAGCATATCAGTTACAAATTATAGCAGCATATCAGTTACTGTTTTAAATCATATATACTCCATTATTGTATATATCTTTAGTTTCCTTATGTAACTACAAACACTTGTATATATTTGGTTCAGCTTTATGAATACAATCATCGGTTTCCAGTTACAAAGCTTTCTCCAATAGGGCAGACAAGAAATCATTCAATATTTTTTTTAGCCCCTTAGTTTGCTTGTGCAACTTGCGAGGAAAATTGACATTGCTTTTTGCAATTGAAAAATATTTGACAGGAACCTTCTCGATGGAGATAGTTTGTCTCTGCAGCATTTTTCTAGCAATGATGGAATCAATGGTATCCTCCACACTGCAAATTTGAGTCAGAAGCTCACTCGACTCGAAATTTCTAGGATTCTGCTTTGCTCTTTCCCAAATATTTTCCAACAACTGGCTCAATGCTTTGTGAGAATTAGCATGCAGTTCTATTTTGTCTATCAATGATGGGATTATTATTTCAAGAAATTCCATGGAGAAAGAGTCTAGAATCGCAACAGAGGTGAATTTTCGATTGGATTCTTCTATCTGAAATCAATAACCAAAAAAGATATATAAGAATAAATTCAT